GTTTTAAGTTTTTGCATACCTTTTGTTAAATCAACCAAAATGTCCTTTGTATAACTATAATATTGAGAGGCCTAAGAAAATGTTGTATATGCTATTTTGTTCCAACAAGGTTTGGAAAGACATTTTATTTCATTCTCAAGAATTGGTAGAAAGAAACAAAAAAATTGCACTAAAAAACAAAAGATATATATAAATTTTTGCATTAAATTAAATCAGTCAACATTACATAAGGGACTTAGAGAATGTTTTCAATAACTTTTTCAGAGAAAAACATTGTTGAATTCAGTTCACCATATCGATACCCATCCTTTAAAGCACACTGTAATACGTCCAGTTATATTTTGTACATTAGTATTAGTTTCATGAAATCCCTATGTCGTTTAACGTTTATTCCGACAATTGACGTCATTGTGCGTTATTGGAGAGGTTAAGCTAACGATGTTTTTCACAACGTAACCGTGAACGCAAAGTACAAAAATTAACAAAGGAATGTATCGAGCGCTCATAGTTTTATGCGCATTTAGTCTACTTCAGATACTCTTTCAGCTTCAGAGTTTCGGGTTTAGAACGGGAGATTTGAAATTTGACGTTGGGTCAACGGGAACCATTTTACTCGTGTCTATTGAACACTATGCTGTCAATTTTGATTTCGATGCACAGTTGAATTCTTGCTGAACACGATGATGTATGTCATGCATGATTTAGCGCCAAAAATCTTACGAAACGAGCTCGTTTAAAATATGTATTAGAAAACCAGCTATAAAACCGCATCAATGACATACTAGAGAGGTTTCGCAAAACGTTTTTTAGCTCCACGGATCCGTATCCGTAACGTATTTACCAGATTTATGCGTAGTCAGTTCAATTTATACGTGAAATGATACGGAAAACACGAAAAATGAGGCTTATGTACGTTGATAATTTACGTATCCGATTTTACCCTTCGATTATATTGTTTTTATTTCTAAAGGTATCACTATATGAACAAGCACAGTGTGCTGTGTATAATTTGACTAAAGTTTGGTGAATGAATTTGTTTATTGTTTGACATAAATCGAGTTTTTCAAATGGTATGTTCAATTCATTTTACACTGTATGGAATGGTATTGCAATAATTACAGTGTACATGTTTCGCACAACGTTTTAGCTACCCGTATCAAAATCCGTAACGCATCGATGGAGTAAAAGTGTACTCAATACGTTAGTGATATCGACAGCAATACCGAAAGTACGTAAACTAACACTTTCTGTGCGTAGTTGTCTCAGATCTATTTTGTCCTTCAAATATTGATAAATTCTTCCCTAAATGTATAATTTTAGTAACCCACATATGTTATCATGTGTATCGAGCTAATTTTGATGAAGTAATAGCCTTATCTGTTGATTAATTTGATTATAAGCGAGGGGCCTGCAATTTTTACGAATAAAGCTTTAGTCACATTTGCTAATAGGCAGGTGTAAGGTCTATCGTTTCTGGAGTCAATAGTAATACCGTAGTCAATATCTTAGGGACATCAAACCAATGGATAGCAGCTAGGCCACCTGAATATATATTTTGTGCCTTAAGTCACGCTCTGAATTCATATAGAGCAGGGTATTGGGCTTATTTTGAGTATAGCAGCTTGGTCCTGACCTCGACAATGAATGTGATATTGGGTCTAAAGATGGCGCCCCGCATCACTCTTGCCCGTATCCAGCTTTTGCCAAGGGGGGCTTTTTTTGGCTAAAAACTCTCGAAAAGTGCTCAGTAAGATGAAAAACTGGATGATTTTGAAAAAATTCTAGCCCGGTAACTTCTTCCCGTGTATGACTTGAACACGCATCAAGTCATGCGATCTATGTCAAACAGTAAGCGGCCTCGTTTGGGGGTCCAGTGAGACTAGTGCCCTAAAGCTTAGTGCCCAAGCTTCCCCGAACTACCGTCAGTGATTATGTGACAGGTATAGTATATTTATTTGATCCTAGGATGATGATATTGGCGTGTCATTTCCTATTTTCATTTTTGTAAAGACAGGCCTAACATCCTGATCCTGTAACGGACCTTCTCTCTTACATATGAGTCACGGTAGGGGCCCCAGATGTTTCTAACTCTTGGGTAGTGGTCCATGATGTGTTCTTCATTAGCAGCCTTGTGATGATAGGGAAGGGGGGGGGGGTTGGTTGTAATTCAAATACATATTCAGTAGATATCGGGTCGTCCACCATTGTGTTGTGCGATTGTCTTCAGTTGGAATAACTTAGTTGAGTAAATCGGTATCAACGTTTCGTTGTGGTTTATTGGTTGTGCCTGATTGTGTTTTGATGGGTTGAGTAAATCGATTGAGTATTTGACTATGCCTGGTTGTGTAATGGTGGGTAAGTCTCAAGTTGGTATAGGTTTTGCCGAAATGTGTTGTGTACGTTTGAGACTAGGTTCTCTTTTGATGGTTGTTAGTCTGGTGATTTAGTATCGGGTTGTGTCCCATTGTGTTATGTTAATCTTATAATGGGTTGTTTTCTCTTGTGAATATGTTCTGTTGGTTGGCTAGCTGGTTGTGGCTAGTCGGGTGAGGCATCTTGTTGTGTCTGATTGTGTTGTGTGATTGGCGTTGTCTCCAATTAGGTTAAGTTAGTTGTGTATCTCGGTATTACAATTTCAATGTGTTTTTTTGCCTGTGCCTGATTTTGTTTTGATTGTTTGGTTTGGGGTTTTGAAAAATTGTGTTGTGTTACTTGAACAATGGGCTGTGTTTGCTTTTGTTGGTTTACCATTGGGTTGTTCCAAATTGTTTGGTGATAATTTCACAGTTCGATGTGTTTTCATGGTTGTTAGTTAAGTTGTGTTTTATTGGTTGTGCCTGATTGTGTTTTTATTGTTTAATGTTGGATTGCACAATTGTGTTGAGTTAATTCAACAATTGGTTGTGTTTGACTTTGTTGTTTTATTATTGGGTTGTGACATATTGTGTTAATTTACAGTTGGTTGTGTTTTGGTGGTTGTAAGTCAGGTTGCGCCATGCTGGCTTTGGTGCTGGGTTATGCTCTATTGCGTTCTGTGTATTTTGACACTGGGTTATGTTCTATTGTACTGTTGCATGATTGGTGATCTAGGTTGTGTTTGGTTGTAATAGGTTATATATGTCGAGTTGTGGGCTGTGTCCGATCAGGTTGTGGTGTTTATTGGGTTAAGCAACAAATGGCCGGTTTAGGGTATAATGTTGTTGGTTTATCAGTTGATTCTATGTAGACCCCAAAGGGGATATAGGGTATTATGATGGTGAGATATTCAACTGGTATGGTAGGCGTTAGCTTCGCGTCATTCTCTGATGAGCTGGTCCCCTGTTGTTCAATGAATTCAAGAAAAACAATGCTAATTTATCTTTTTACATAATATATTTTTTGTTGATTTCTCATACAAAACATACTTTTATTGCATAACTGATATATTTGTGTCGCTTTCTATGATCATGTATGTTACTTTGCTCCCCTCCTTAGTTTATATGAGGCATGGGTTTTCAACTAAAGCCCATGTATGAGGAAGGGGGGGGGGGTGGCTTATGTGAAAACGTATGGTTTCCGAATGCCTTGGTCTTGCCCAAGTCGCTATTTTTTATTTATTTGATCTTGAATTATTACCAAAATATACAGCTGCAAAAACATGAAATTAAAGGTCCATGTGCAGTATGGCAAGTAATTTTAGAAATGTTTACGCATTTTGTGGCATAATGCAGTCACTGCACGTCACTTAATGACCACTATTCAGCCTATCTGTTTTCAAACCCTTAAATATTCCGAAAGGTATAATTTGATACTGAATTGGTTATTGTAAACCTAGAAATAATCTTTTCTGGCCTAAAGGATATTCTTCATGTTGAAATTGATGTCATGAAATTAATAAATGACACCTTAGGGATGAAAGGGTTAATATGTATTTTTGCACTCACCAAAAATACTTTTGGAGTTGTGATTCTGAAAGCTGACACTCCCAATGGTGTTTTGAAATCTTAGTGCAGATGAAGCCTTTTATTTGACCCTAGTTTTCACTACTATTAAACACGGATTGAGATGCGTTTATAATTACGTACTTCAAAAAACGAACTGCGAAACGAAAATTATCGAAATACGCATCCGTAAACCCAACGAGATACGGATGCGAATACGTTTTAGCTTATTCGTTTTGCGAAACCTCTCTACTATAGAATCATTACACGCTATGGTGTAGTCTAAACAAACACTGGATTTGAACGATTTGACTTTAGAGTCAACAGCTAAAGGCAGATGTCACATTTAACAATACTTTAGAGTCAACAGCTAAAGGCAGTAGTCACATTTAACAATACTTTAGAGTCAATTGCTATAGGCAGTAGTCACATTTAATATTTTTAACATATATAACTAAAGGACAGATGGCCCCTGTGCTCACAAAGTGAACTGTAACAAAAATGTGACTTTTTGAAATCATAATTGTTAATTTACTGAAAACACGATGACTCAGACAATGGAGGTGACAGTTCAAAACTAGAACAAACAAAAGAACTGGAACTTTTTGTCCAAATTCCACAAGTAATTGTCAAAAGCTAATATTCATAAGGTTCTATTTTTTTTGAATATATGTACATGTACATTCTTTATGTGATGGCAACTTACAAGCATCTTGTGGTAATTCTATCCATACAACAATGAAAATGTGACTTTGTTATGTAAAAATTGTAATTAGAATTTGATCTAATATGAATTGAATTAAAAAAACAATACAAGTTTCAATCAAAATCTCCCCTACTTTTTGTCAAAGTATATAGAGTAGCCTTAGCCTAGATATGTTGACCTACTATGGATGGATGGGGGTTAAATTCTCACATAATGGTGACTTCAAGCTTGCAATGTTTTTCACAACAAACTGTGAACACAATGTCCATGAATCAATACAGTAATGTATATAGCGCACATACAAAACAAGCGCTAATTAATCTTCTCCAGATACCCGATCAGCTTCAGTTTTGTGTGAAGAATGGGATATTTGCAATTTCATGTTGTTGTCAACGTTAATCATTCTACTCATGTCTGTTGAATACTATGTTGGCAATTTTGATTTCAGTGCACAGTATAATGCTTTCTGAAGAAAATGATGTATGTCATACATGTTTTAGCTCCAAATATCTTACAAAATGAGCTTGTTGAAGGTATGTATCATAGAAAACCAGCTATATAACAATCATTGACATATTACACGATGTAATGTAGCCTAAGTAACAGACTAAGTAAACACTGTAACTGAACGATTATTCATTTGAGAACATGCATTTGTATAGGGTGATTTATACGTTGCCATTTCAATTTTACATGCAAGGTGAAAGTCTCCATTGACTCCTAGACACTCAAGAGTAAATGCCCCAAGTTGGCCAGTGCATCTCCATTTGACTTGGTGAGTACCAGCAGTATAAGTTGCACATGAGGTGGTAGTGTTGCAGAATCATTTGAGATGGTTGTATCCAAGCAATATTGTCTCAAAGCCAGATCAGTGTTCCTTTTAAGTATGACATACATAGTATGATTCACAAATGTTTAATAGGATACATACAGGGTGTTGCCAAATACTGAGAATTCCTCTCCATAATAGTTAATCACAGTCAAATCCTTCTTTCTTCGCACAACATCTTGTATCAACTCATCAATAATCTGAAAATTTAAAATGTCCTTTATATTACAACAAACCTAAAGTATATTCTAACAAACAGAAATCCCTGTATTAAGTGCACAATCAGATACCAAACATGAAATTGAAAAAATACTTTTTTTGACCCTGAGAAGGCCGTTGAAGGTGAAATCTCAAATCTAAAAACAGAGACCATAACAATATGTAACCACTTTTTGGTGGTGACATAATAATGGCCTTTGTGCTTTCATTTGCTGGTAAGTTTAATTTTAGTGCTTGGTGAGACTACTACAATAAAGGTGAGAAAAAACTACAACTAAATAAAACAGCAACTCCAGGGAGGAGCAAATCCCACCGAACATAACATGTTTTGATAATTAGTGGCCATCTTGAAAGTTTCTTCTTGAACAGAGCATATCAGCATAAAAAATTTAACTGGTATTTGAGTCTTTAAGGATTGTATTTTTTTCCCAAAAATGGTGGCCATTTTCAAATTCAGCGTTATCTTGAAAATTCTTTCTCGAACAGCGCAACTGTGTCCCTAGGCATTGTCATATAAAATTTGAACTAAATCCATTCACTGGTATTTGAGTCATCAAAGATTACGTTTTTTTATGAAAAATGGCAGCTGCCATGTTGAAAATTCTTTCTCTAACAGAGCTACTGTGTTAACATCATCATATAAAATTTGAGCCAAATCCATTCATTGGTATTTGAGTTATCAAAGATTAAGTTTTTTATGAAAAATGGGAGCCATTTTGAAATTCAGCCTCCATCTTTAAATTCTTTCTCTAACAGAGCTATTGTGTCCTTAGGCATCATCATATGAAATCTGAACCAAATCCTTTCACAGGTATTTGAATTACCATAGATTACGTTTTTTTAAGAAAAATGGCCACCATTTAGAAATTTAGCAGCCATCTTGAAAATCCCATCTTGAGCGAAGCTCTTTTGTCCTTAAGCATCAGCACATAAAATTTGAATCAAATCCCTGGACTTGTATTTGAGTTATCAAAGATAATTTTTACAAAAAATGTCCACCATTTTGAAAATAACCAGCCATCTTGAAAATCTCTTCTTTAGCGAAGCTCTTTTGTCCTTAGGCATAAGCATATAAAATTTGAATCAAATCAGTGAACTTTTAAGAAAAATGGCGGCTTTTTTGAATTGAAGGGCCATATTGAAAATTCCTTCTCAAGCAGATGTCCTACACTCATAATGCATAAGCCTATATTTCAATCAAATCTGTTGATTGGTATTTGAGTTATCACCCGGAAACAGGGGTGGATGGATGAACGGACATCTTGTAATATATAGATACAAGATATAGATACAGACGACTTTCCTATATCCCCCTCGAAAAACTCAGGTATTTCTTGAAATTCTTACATTATTGCACTGTCGCAGATCTAGGAACTTCAGGTGGGGCATTTCTTCTGGTATTCTGTCCAAGCAACTCCCTAGAATATCCAAAATATAAGGTTACACAATGCAACAAACTTATACAGGGCCTCACTTCAAATCCCAATTTTCAGATCGAGAGTGGGAAAAACAAATGTAAAAGAACTGTAGTTTATATTAAGTATTATACCACTCTAAGTCCAATTACAGTTGTATAACATGGGTCTATAACAACGATATACAGTGGAGAGTGGTATATCGTCACCGTATACAACTCCTCCTTATACACTCCAGCGTATACCACTGTAGAAGTGCATTCTGGGAACTAATGAATAAAAAAATCATGAAATTTTCATGATTTCCTAGAATCAAGTGACGTCATAAATGGTTCGAGATCAACATCAGCATTATTGAGTTGGCTATGGGATATTTTTATGGTTTTAATTGTTATGATTGTGTTCGAATCAACTGTAATTGAACTTAGAGTGGCATAATAAGATTATATAATGGTTCATTCTGTATATCGTGCATTTTATACTCTTGTGAGAATATAATATATTCACTCGTTCGCTACGCTCACTTGTGAATATATCATATACTCACTCGAGTATAAAAACGATATACAGAAAAAAACATTATATAACCTCATAATACACTGTATTACTAAAAATCCCAAATACATGTTACATTAACTTCTAATGCCAAACTCTGATTATGCTAATGGCATACCTTAAATCCTGACAGACTCACCTGTTATTTTGTCCAGTCCAGTTAGGTCAAGATGTCTGATGTTTGGGCAGTTGTCCACTATTGAGATGAGACTATCATCTGTCAGGTCCCAACACCAACATAATGCAAGACTTCTCAAGGTTTTACCACATCTAAAACATAATGCAAGATTTCTCAAGGTTTTACCACATCTAAAACATATTGTAAAATATATCTGGGTTTTACCACATTTAAAATACAATGCAAAATATATCAGGGATTTATACCATTTAAAACACAATGCAAAACATAGGGTTTTATCACATCTAAAAGGTAATGCAAAACATATCAGGTTTTACCACATCTAAAAGGTAATGCATATCGAAATAAAGTCTTTAATCTAACCGATCAAAATGAGATACAGAACAATGGACACTGTAATTACCATATGCCGTTGTCTTTCTAAATTACTCAAATTCAGATTCCATTGTCATTGACGAAATTGAAGACGCTATATTCTGGCGATTCATGACCTATTTTGATTGAAAATGGGATTTCATATGATACATTTACTGGAATTACACCTACGATGTAAAAGCGCTTTTTAAAATCCTATCGGGTTTCGACCCGCCTTTAGAGTCAGGTGTAATCACGATCGCGGATTTAGAAAAGCGCTTTTGTAATCCTCCCAGACCCCTAGTCATTAAAAACCGCTTTCACACCCAAAGGCGCTTTAACGTGTAGGTGTAATACCGATTGGTTTTCAAGGCGCTTTAACTCGATTTTACACTGAACGAAAACTATATCTGCGCATGAGCATCAAGCATGTTATTGATTTCCGGTGTGGAAGAAAATTCAAATATTGTGCAAAACTCAATCAAGTCACCAAAATGTCGAAACAAAGTAGAATTTATTGGGACCACGTCAATACTGAGCATATGCTGTCGACGAATATGAGGTTCCAGCAAGTTCACTACATTGCCAAATGTCTCTCTACCCATCCGAAAGTTCCTTCGGAAATCATCATTATTCCACGTTCTACAAAGAACAACGCAATTTGTAAATAGAATAACCGTGAATTAAATAAATAATATAATACTATTGACGACGGATATTGATGATTCAGCATCCCGAACAGAAGAAAGTAGCTAATATTTTGAGCACCATAGTATTATGATAATAGCTCTTCTCGATCACTTTGACGCTCACTGGGCCAAAAATATAAAGTCTTATATTTATACGCCCATGGGCGTATAAAAAATGATAAAATAACGGACGAAATTACCCCTTCTTTCAGTTATACGCCCAGGGCTTATATACGAGAAATTCCGGTACTATTGTAGATTGGGGAAGGCGAGGGGAGGGGATGATTGAATAGTTGAAATTACCTTTCTACAATGAAGTCAAAAAAATCACGAGATCTTTGTCTTGTCCACATCGTTCGTTCCTGTCCCATATTACCAAGGATGCCAAACAGCCCCAACAAAAGTACCATCTTCATTTTACTGGATCACTCTTGGATCTCTCCTAACGACCGAGCTTCTCTCTTTGCGCGCTTGTGCATTGTTTTCCATGCTTTCTTTAGCACATATTTGTTAACGCCAGAGGTAGATTGAATATGATTTAAGAAAAAAAGGAACATACAGTATCGGATCATTTTGAATCTCCAGAGATGGCGCTTCGGTTGAAAGTGTATATCTAAATAGCAGATTTTGATGCAAATGCGATGGTTGATGGCAAATTTTTGTCTTAAATCAGTCTAAAAGCGCTTTAGAAAAATCAAGTGTAATCACGAAAAGTTGTCTTCAAGGCGCTTTTAAAATTCTGGTGTAATCAGGATTGCGGTTTTCTAGCCTACGTTACCCAAAACGCCTTGAAAACGCCTTTAGCCATGAAATAGGTGTAATTCCACTAATTATCACAAGAGCTTAATACATGCACAGAATTAGCAACGATAAAATCCCATGAAATGAGGATAAAGGCCTACTAGTGTTATTGTTCAAATGTAAGTGATAAGTAAATAGAATTATTAAAATCAGCAATTCTTAATTTTGATTTTATGACGTCAAATTGGTTAAAAAAACATTTATGACACCCTTGGTTCAGTTGCTTGTCTTTTTATTGTTATCTAAGTAAAATAAAAACAAACAAAAAATCTAATGTTGGTAATTGTCTCTAGTTTATCAAAAACTTGTGTGGGGTACTATTAGTATAATAATTGTGCAATTAAATGTATCCAAGAATTTTACAACATTTACAAACAAACAATGAAAGATGTTTCAGGGTAAGAAAATAGCAGAAGCGCTCATGGTATTGTTTAGCAGTCGTTTTGATCCAAAACTTCTGCACCATTTGCAATTCAAAATCTTAATATTGTATGAATAGTGTTCATCATCCACAAAATCTTACCACTAGCAAATTGTGGCAATTTGTTGCAGATCCTAGCCACCAAATGATACAAACTTCCAAAGGTCAGTCTCAATAATGGTGGCTATAACAATGTCCCTATAAATGTATTATTCTGAATCTTACTGTTTGGTTATTTGGAAAACTGCAGAATCCTGGAGGAAGGTACACTCTGTGAGATCAAGGTACTCCAGGTTCAGTTGATGACTTTCAAAGAAATCTTGTAAAACCTCTGTAGAAAACCCTATACCCTTTTTAAGTCTCAGCTCTGTTAATGACTGCAATCTCTACAATATACAACATAAAACATTATTTTCAAAGATATACTTGCATAATACTTGGCTTTGTATAAAAAACCTCCTAACCACATACGTGGGACATGATACAGTCTTTGAAGGTTCAATTATAAAGATCTTAGTTTATGATGAATTATAGATGCATTTGTAACAACCCTTGATAGCAAGTTGCTACTACATCCCAGCTGGGTTCGATTCCCACCTGGGATATCGAATTTAGCACACTTTCTTTCAATTTCTTTATCTGGCTTGCTCATCGTCTTAGTTATTTATTCCCCTTGGGCACCCTCGGGTCATTACACATTAAAATGCATCCATATGCCTTTATTTATGGATCTGTCTCGTCATAAAATAAAGCCAGAATTGTAGAAATGTTAATAATTTGAGTTATTTTGAGATTCAATAATCTTTAAAATTGAACCCTTCAATGACTGTATCATGTTCCACGTAGGTGGGTAGGTGGGTATGAGGTAGGAGGTTTTTTATACAAAGCCATACTACTTATTCCAAAATAGCTACTTCCAAAGGATGGATGTTTGCCAGTTTGGCAATATTGAATGGATCAATTGATGGATTATAAGCTAAAAAAACTTAAGCTTTTTACAATAATGTAGTAATTTCTTTATAAATGAGGTTTTAACATTTATTAATTAAGGAGTATTCTAAACATTTGTGGCATATTGTGCACTTTGAATCTGTATAAAGTCCCCAGTTGATAACACACCACAGATGTTTTGCCACCCCTGTAGCTCTGATTCTGCTTTTCACATACTAATACTACACCATCTTTTAGTCCAAGAGTTATTTAAAAACATACACTTTGTGAAAAGTGGTAATTCACTTCTTTTGATCTCTGAACTTCAAATGCTGTTTTCTATGCGAGTAATTTTTTTATCACTTCAGTACTGACCCAAATTAAAGTTTTTATCATATTTTGATTGACTGGGTGAGTGACATGTCTCAAACAATATTTTGTCCTTTTTCTTCAAAAATAAGCGCATTGCCCGTGTGAACCATCCACAATCTCTGCGTGAGTAACAATTTGCAATATAACTTGAACAAATGCAAAAAGTATAGAGTTCAAATAAACTATAAGCTACTGTAAGGCAAGCTTAAACTAACATTGATACTTCTCAATATCAATTACAACATACATCATTTCATCTATAAGTAAAGCATATGGACTAGGGCAGTACATAGTGTGATGCACAAATGTAACTAGAAAATGGCAACTCCCCGGAGTAGCAAATCCAAACAAACACTAACAAACACTTCTATATGAATCTGCATTTGTCACAAAAATATAAACATTGGAAACATTTAAGATACATGTTATCAGAATTTCTACCAATTTTAAAAGCATTTGGGTGACCATTTAAAGGCACAAATAATAAAGACAATTTGAATTTTCTGAGGCACAAATCAGGAAAACAATACCAAAATAGTGGTCTGCCCTAAATTTCCATCAATTTGAGAATAATATAGTCATATTTTGAAGAGATCAGAAAATTATTGGAAAATTCCACATTTAAGCCAGTGACCATTTTTTTATCTTTATTTCAAATTGATTCAATTACATTTTGATAAAGATTTTAACAGTAGACACATGTTTATGTGTATATACTGTACTGAGTTTACAATTAAAGATGTATGAATATAAAATACTACCTTTAATTTATAAGAAAGAGAGTATGAGCAACTTATTGGGAACAGGAGCAATGGGGACACCTTACTGATACTAGAGATATTGTACGATGTGTAACATAATTTTGAATTTTATGAGGCCAAAATTACAAAACCGATACAATATTTGCAATCTACTCTAAATTGCCTTTCATTTGAGTATAATAAAGCTATACTTCAGAAAGATCTCAAAATTAACTCAAATTCCTGTTGGCAGCCATTTTGAATTTTCTGAGGCACAAATCAGAAAACAATACCATACTAATGATCTAAACTAAACTTCCTTCAATTTTAGTATAATATAGCAATACTTTAAAGGGATCAGACAATTATTGCGAAATCTCACATATAAGATGGCCATTTTGAATTTTACGAGGCCCAAATTAAAAAAACAATACAATATTTGCAATCTACTCTAAACAAGGGAAAAATCAATACCCGGTGATTTCAGCGGGAAGTGGCATTTCGTTCAGTGGATGACTATAAACAGTGGATGACTATAAACATGACTATCCAATAAATTCCCGGGTATTGTAGGCTTCCTAGTCAACTCGTACTCAAGACAACTCGTACCCAAGACAACTCGTACTCAAGCTTATTTTCAGTATTATGGGTGCATATTAGGGAAGAAATTGAGTTTGTAATGCTTTCATGTTATAAGGTGAATCAAATAAGCCTCAATATTTTTTTGAATTTAGACGACATTTTTTCTCAATGGATCAGTAAAGCATTTTTTTTATTAAATAAAAGAAGTGCTTGAAGCGCTTGTTCTCAACATTTTTTTGTCAAACAGCATTAAATCTGACACTTGTTCCAAACACTCATAAACATATAATATTTTGAAAAATGATTATAAACATTTATCTCTTCACTTGAACATCCTGAATCTGTGACCAATATAAAATAATAGTCAATATAAATTGACACTCAGCTCAAAATGTCATAAAATTAAATCAATTTCTGGCTTTGTATAAAAAACCTCCTACCTCATACCCACCTATGTGGAACATGATACAGTCATTGAAGGGTTCAATTTTAAAGATTATTAAATCTCGAAAATAGCTCAAATTATTTAACATTTCTACAATTCCGCTTTATTTTATGACTAGAGAGATGACAGATCCATAAATAAAGGTATATGGATGCATTTTAATGTGTTATGACCCGAGGACGCCCCAGGGGAATAAATAACTAATGACCGCGAGCGTAGGTCCAACAAGCCAGATAAAGAAATTGAAAGAAAGTGTGCTAAATTCGATGCCCCGAGTGAGAATCGAACCCAGCTGGGATGAGTAGCAACTTGCTATCAAGGGTCATTACAATATAATTCATCATAAACTAAGATTTAATAAACTAAGATCTTTAAAATTGAACCCTTCAAAGACTGTACGTGGGTAGTTGGGTATGAGGTAGGAGGTTTTTTATACAAAGCCTCAATTTCTTCCGAAAATTCTTCTTCAAACTTTAAACTATTCTGAACAGTATGTTACAATTATAATATGTATATCTATTCACATTCCCAGTCCAATGCTTGATTCAAAACAAAATATATACTTGGGTACGAGTTGTCTTGGGTACGAGTTGTCTTGGGTACGAGTTGACCAGTTACCTATGGTAATGCCCTTGCTCTAAATTGCCTTTGATTTGATTATAATTAGACTATACTTTAGAAAGATCTCAAAATTAATGCAAATTCCCATTTTCCCAACCCCCCCCCCATACATGGCCCAGGGGGTCATAGTGAAAAACTTGGAATATATATAAAATAGATAGATGTTGTGAATATACTACCTAAATTTCAAACAATAATATTTATTACTTTGGTTTAAAATGAAAAACTTAAGATGTTCACGAAAAATTCCCGCCACTTTTAAAGCGGTGGCCATCTTGGAAATCTTTTTGTTGCGTACACCTATACACCAATAGACATCTTTCCAATAAATATGAAGAAAATCTGTCTACTAATCTAGTAATCGCTTTATCTTACAGATGGCAAACAGATGGCTTCACTATATCCCAACCAAACTTCGTTCATTGGGATAATGAGCTGTGATATACAGTATGTCTAACCCTCCTCCCCTCTAACTACCATGTTTTGGCTGAGGCGTAAGACATTTCTTCTTTCCACTTTGTCCACTGCCATCTATTGAAAAAAGAATTTTACCTTCAAGTAAATCAAGCTTTTGTCTGTAAGTAGCTCAGCGAAGGAAATACTGAACTTTCTCATGTTCTCACAGTTGGAAATATGTGCCATACTTTCGTCTGATATCTCAGCTCCATCTATTGTGAGACTGGTGAGGCTTGATTGATGATGTAACACAAGTTGTTCCAATACGCTTGAAACAGAAGTCAACATTCTTGAAGTTTGCAAATGTGAATGTAGTTTATATGGAGTAGCACATCCAAATGAACATTTAGCAAATAATTCATGAATCTCAGATATGTCACAATCTAATATTGTCCTGTGAGCAACCACCAATTTGTACTTTAAGGCAAACATACACTGCTTACTCGAGTCTCTAGCCAAATTACTTGGCTAGAAGACATGGCATGTGGACCACCGTGCACTAGTGAAAACGTTGATTCTGGAGTAAGATTTTTTTAAATGTTATTCTAAAAATTGTAATGAAAATATTTCATCAAATAGAATGTAAACGAAAACTATCCTTTGTGAGATATTATACCGCATGCTTTCGTCTAAACTTAAAATCATTTGGTCTGCCATTTATAAAAACATCTGTTGAGGTTGATGTTTATCTCGCTTTTGCAAAAAGCAAAATGGCCGTTTTTACCGAAGGATCTTTTTCAAAAGATTGCTCTTAGAAAAGACTAAATCTAAAGCCGATGTAGATGGTCATATGAGCTAAGACTACATACTAAGTTCAATAAAGGTATGTTTATTACATTTGAGTTAATTTATAGCAACAGTCCACAATGGCTAGCGTAAAAAGCAATACAACAAACAGGACTTGATGATAGCTTAAGGCCACATTGTGGCCGAAGAATAAGTTAATACACTGCAGTTTGTATCAGTTAGAGCATTATATTGGGTACATTTTCTGGAAAATTCAAAAGATTCTGTTCAGTGACCTTCCCTACGCTCCTACTTTTAGCTTTTTTTCAGTCACACTTTCAAAGGGCTAAAAAGGTTATTTCATCATGTTTAGGGTCATTCTGACCATGCACATTGTGATCCTGGTCATGTAAATGATATGTGGAAATAGTTAAATTGACTGGAGGTCAAACCAGAACTCTGTTATCTTTGCTCAAAAAATGTCTAAAAATGCAAAAAATTTTGTCACTTCCTGTTTCGTCATTTCCTGTTAACTTCCATAGCACCTTAACAGTGGATTCATATTAAAGCTGTTGTCACATGAATCTTGATCTTAGGTTATTCTGAGCATCAAAATATAATAAAAACTGTAATCACATTACCTGTCTGTAATACATGAGATGCCATCTATATTGAACTCCACAAACTGGTTAGGCTCTGCAGCATGCACTAATGTCACAATATCATCTTCAGTTAGCTTTACACAATGAGACAAGTTGAGCTTGCAAATGTACTGAAGGTCTGTTATCATGTTCACACAATTTGCATCTATTTGATCACAGCCTTCTAAATTCAACTCAGAAATTTTTGAGCAATTTTTAATGAAAATTCTCAACATGTTTGAATTCACATTATGACAGAATTCAAGGATTAGTGTTTTTAATTTTGGGGTGTATCTTATAAAGGATGAGACTAGAGTTTGGTTGAGTTCATTCCTGCCCCACATCGTGAGTTTTTTCAACTGTGGACTTCTTTTCATTAAACGTAGAATTGTTCCATTGTCTAAATCTTTGTCTGATGTTATAGATATATGCTGCCATAATAATGGATCATGGGCCAGGCAATACCAGGCTTTGCAAACATGCATGATTTTATGACAAAGCTCTGAGTGAGAGAAGAAGGAAAAAATCTTCAAAATAATTAATTGTGGAAGTTCATGAATCAGATCCTGGTCATCAATGTTAAAGCTTTCTATGTTTATTTCCATCTCACTCTCTTGGTCTATAGCATTAGCATTAGGAAATGGAACATTGGGACTAGCCAGTTTTGAATCTGAAAGAGCACCAAGTTTCACCAAGTCATTTATAAAATTCACATCAATGACATCATTTACTTGTTTTGACGTCACTGTTTCTGCCTGCGTTGGTGTTTGAGGTGTATCTTTAAATTTTTGATTAATGTCAGTTTTGCTAACAAGATCACAGGATTCCACAGACACCGTATTGAGCACAGACATTACTTCATGATCTATTACATAATCCTTAAGCTCATCTCCTAAATTATCATTAGCATCTCTATAACTATTTATCTGGAGTTGAATTGCATTTCCCAATTGATCCGAATCCTTTTTTGAGAACCTAAATGCCGCATTGGGGTTTGGTGATTGGGCTTCACATGAGGGTTTCCACACTGGGAGATCTGACATTGTGGAAGTGTAACCAAGATCTTTTAGTAATGTTGGAGAACCATGGAGAGACCGTGATACATCATCCAAATTTATATCAGTCATGTGTCCCCCAGGAATTAAAAATGCACTATTTGATTGGGTTTCTATGTTATGAGGCTTCATATATCTTTGTGCTTTTAGCTTGGAGGTTTCAACCGCTGGATCACAAGTAGACACATCTGTATGATCATCACCTGAAACATCCTGATCAGTTCTCCTACCATAACAATTACTTGACTCCTCAACATCATCTCCAATGATAATGTCATCATCTTCAAGCCAACGTTTTTGTATATTTTGCTCTCTATTTAACACATCACATGAATTAGGTTGAATTGTGGGAACAGAGTCATCTTTCTCAGCTATGGCTGCATCCTCCTTATCATTTTCATCAGACATGCTTTCTTAGTTCATTTGTATGTCTTGTTACTTTTAGAGTCTTTGTTCATCTGTAAAACAAAAAAATGGTAGATAAAAAACTCCAGCAAATATGGGACTGAGATTGCCAAGACATTTTAGTTTATTGCCAAAATCACTGAACCACGAAACAAAAAGTGGTCAAATTTGGACATTTTCAATTAAAAATTACTCTCAAATTATCCAATTGTTTAGTGATTAATTTCCTGTAAACAAGCTTCCATATTGGATAATAGTATCAACTTTGCATTTTAGTGTTCTTGGTGTACATAATTCAATGTTTGGAACTGTTTTCAGCCATATTTGGTTATTCTATGGGGTTAAATGTGTCAATTTTCTCACAATTTCCATATAAATTCATACACAAAAGAAAAAGCTACTAGGCTTGTTGCAAATTCACCAACTTTGACAACCAAGTTCTGACACCGACATGGTTACTGTGTAAATCGATACTAGAATTTTAGATTTCCAAAATTATTTTTTAGCATAAACTGACTGTTAAACCACGAATCATTCCAGATAAAACCCAAGAATATAAATGCATTTGCATACAACACTCTATGCAGACTGTGCTATGTGAAAAGAAGCTGTGAAGATATCATGTATGCAAGGTGCGGATATCTTTGACAGTCATTTTTGAATTTGATTTCGTAATATTATTTCACCAACTAGGGCGTGTTGGGTACTTAAACTCAATTATATTGATACATGTGTACAGGTTCCCTAATAAAAAGGAATTGTGTAAATACTGTAGGTGTGTAATTCATTCTATATCGACACATCAATGATAATACTCTCTCCAAAGCAAATAATTTGAAATTGCAGCTGTTTCACAGCGCAAACAGCATTCATTATTCATTTATATTGGTGATCGAAATGACCTATCAATACAAATTATATTTGCATTTTGAAAGTTGAAAGATTTCTGTGTGATTCTACATGATGTAAAACAAGTTTGTCTATCGACTTACCAATGTTGGGGCTTCAACCAATTCGTTAACGGTATCAAGTTGATGATTGTTCACAGCCATAATTTCCACTTTCATAAGGAAAAATTCGAAATAAAATTAAAATAAACCACTTCAATTACTTAGATGCGAGTAGGACTAGGTAGTTACCACTTTTGCCACCAGGTGGCTGATTCTGGGGAAATAACATAGCAGGGTATTACAAAATTCCCTTAAACTTGAATAATCATCAGTTTTAGTGGTTCACTTTTCATATTACCCTTATGTATCTGATTTAGGTATACAAATTAAAATATGTCCAGTAAAAGAAAATATTACCTGCCCAACACAAGACAAGAAAAGAGATTTCACTTTTTGTGGTTTTACAACATGGGGTCTATCGGGAATTTCCCCGACCTAAAAATCACATTTTCAAAGAAAATTAAATTTTCAAAGTTGATTAACTCTTTTCAATTTGTAATTGTAAAAGAACTAGGTAAGGTACGGCAAGCATTTTTGAAGGGCTATATCTTTAGTTCTAAGAATACTTTAACCACAAAAACAAATGGTTATGTTAGATCCATGTCTTATCTTCAATAAATGACATAAGGATGATAATCAAGTTGATTGGATTATCTCTTATATATAATTAACCTGTCCCTAATCCACCCATCCTCACCAATTTTCCCTAATTCTGACGCAATTTTCAACAAAAATGCAGCATTACTACATGTAAAGGCCTATTATCACCCACGGCGCCGTCAGAATAGATTGTTAATTATCGCCTACTCTGAAGTACTGTCAGTTACATGTTAAGGTTCAGCTGGAAAGTAACATTTTGGTAAAAAAATGCTATACCTGCACATGTTATTTTCTGGTACAAAATTAAGTATGAAGGCATTGTGTGTATTTCCTTGCTTTTTTCAGGAAAGTATCATTACACTGTCTACTTTTAGTAAACCTGGAAACAGGTCAATGGTAGCTCCTGTGTTGTCTGGAAACTTTGAAAGAATATTTGGAAAAATATGTTACTCCTTAAAAGCGCAAAAAACTTAGCTTTTTATATCACAAGATAATCACAATTATTTAGCCTCGGGGATTGCTACAATTTTGAAAATTCGCGGAGGTCAAATCTGACATTTACAGGACTTTGCGGGACGTACATGCGAATTAGCCAAATTTTGATCAAATTCGGGGGATAATCCCGCCATTCGCGGGACACTTGACAGTTCTGTGATACTTTCCTGAAAAATGCAAGAAAATTGACACATGCCTTCATGAAAATTTGGAAAAATACGTTACTCCTTAAAAGCGCAAAAAACTTAGTTTCTTATATCACAAGATAATCACAATTATTTAGCCTCGGGGATTGCTACAATTTTGAAAATTCGCGGAAGTCAAAGCCGACATTTGCGGGACTTCGCGGGACATGCGAATTAGCCAGATTTTGATCAAATTCGGGGGATAATCCCGCCATTCGCGGGACACTTGACAGCTCTGTGATACTTTCCTGAAAAAAGCAAGGAAATTGACACATGCCTTCATACTTTATTTTGTACCAGAAAATAACATGTGCAGGTAGATTATTGCAAGAACATAACTTCGACATATAAGTGTTACCTGATGAATGGGACCCTCACGTGCCTTCCAAATGGTAGTAAACAACTCCAGTGTAACTACATCAGCTTATCTTTCCGTCTACAATAAGAACAGTTATTTATACAAGAAATGTAAAGTAACTGAAAATATTCCCAAAAATGTTGCAGTTATTTCCGGAAGTTATGATACTGTAACAAATTTTTAATTTTTCAATTTTTATTTTTGGAGTCCAGTTCCATTTTCTAGCAGTTCAGACAGTTTTGACAGTAGGAAAGTGTTTCCCAGTCAAGGTTGATAGGTGTTATACTTACATTAATGTGTGGAACACTTTAGATGTACAGAGAGTCGTATTAACTGCTATTTTCAGTGAGATTTATTTTTGTTTTTATCTACATTTTTCTCACTTCCTGTAGAAGAACTCTGCTGACCTACATTCACTTACTCGTTTTTCCTTGCAATTTCACCATAATTAGAGCCAATGATGATTGGTTTTTGTTATATTTATCTAGTTTATATCTTAATCTAGCTAATAAATTACAAGATATGTGTTCGTTTTGTGTTAGACAGCAGAAATCGTGATTGCTAGGCAAAGCCATTTATTTTGCAAAAGTTATTTCCTCATTGCAACATGGTTGTTTATTTTGCACTAGTGATATCCTGCCTGGGATTCTAGTGACTGACTAGGTATTGCATCAGCCCATTAATCACTTGTTAGGTTCGTGTTCAAAACCTGTCTGGGGTATAAATACAGAGCACTGATCGCTCCTAGCAGACACGTACACCACTTTTGAAGAGGAAGGAGCTCCTATGTCAGTGTCTCATCTACAGACGAGGGACTAAGAGGCTGAGAAACTTAGAATATTTACGACATCCCAGAAAGATAGAATATTCCCAGCAACTGATGTCAGAAAGATAGAATATTCCCGGCAACTGATGTCCAGAAACTTAGAATATTTCGTATAACTGATGTCCAGAGAGATAGAATATTCCCGATAACTGATGTCCAGAAACTTAGAAGATATAACTGATGTCAGAAAGATAGAATATTCCCGGCAACTGATGTCCAGAAACTTAGAATATTTACGACATCCCAGAAAGATAGAATATTCTCGACAATTGATGTCCAAAAACTTAGAAGATATAACTGATGTCAGAAAGATAGAATATTCCCGGCAACTGATGTCCAGAAACTTAGAATATTTACGACATCCCAGAAAGATAGAATATTTCAACGACTGATGTCCAGAAACTTAGAATATTTCGATTACTGATGTCCAGAAACTTAGAATATTTCAACGACTGATGTCTAGAAACTTGGAATATTTCGTGTAACTGATGTCCAGAAACTTAGAAGATATAACTGATGTCAGAAAGATAGAATATTCTCGACCAATGATGTCCAGAAACTTAGAATATTTCGATTACTGATGTCCAGAAACTTAGAATATTTCAACGACTGATGTCTAGAAACTTGGAATATTTCGTGTAACTGATGTCCAGAAACTTAGAAGATATAACTGATGTCAGAAAGATAGAATATTCTCGACTAATGATGTCCAGAAACTTAGAATATTTCGATTACTGATGTCCAGAAACTTAGAATATTTCGGTTACTGATGTCCAGAAACTTAGAATATTTCAACGACTGATGTCTAGAAACTTGGAATATTTCGTGTAACTGATGTCCAGAAACTTAGAAGATATAACTGATGTCAGAAAGATAGAATATTCTCGACCAATGATGTCCAGAAACTTAGAATATTTCGATTACTGATGTCTAGAAACTTGGAATATTTCATATAACTGATGTCCAGAAACTAAGAAGATATAACTGATAGAGAAATATAGACTCTTTAATATAATCTTTGATATTTCACATAAACAAAGGACTTTCAAGTAGTCTCCCTACAACTTAATTTACACCGATTTATTCTGTATACATTTTTGGGCTGGATAAGCAACAATATATGTGTGTTTATTTTATATTCGATGTTGTGTCGCTATATCTTCACGTGCATTTAATGTGCACCAAGTATCCCTCGAAGTGACCTAGCCTAATAAAATAAATAACAACCATCCACACTACCCAAATTAGGCTAGTTGTTACAATACGTTAAAATACCGAACATGTGTGAAAATGAAATGTTTGTATGCATTTTATCAAGCTCTCGTAAAATGAACTCTGGTGTATTTATAATCAATTTGATTACCTTCATCATCATCATCATCATTTGAATACACGATTGATCAATTTTACTGATCATTATATCGCGGGTTAGTACGAGAAAGTTAAAACATGAACATCAACACAAGTTCATGAGCTAAAAACAGTGTTAGGTAATAAAAAGCTAAAACAATAGGTTAAAAGACAGTATAAAATTAAGGCATGGGTGTAAGGTAGTGAGCCCTTAGACTAGTCTTGAACTGGTTTAAGCTCTCTGCCAATACAATCAAGGGCGTTACAATACCCGGGAATTTATCGGTTCGTGCAGTACTTGTTTGTGATAGCGCCCTCTGTAGGTCACTGTGCTTATAGCCTACAGTAATACGGGGTAGGATATCGGGAATTCGGTCAGTTTCTATCCGTCGATTTCGCTATGAATTGAAGCAAGTGTGACCACTTTATCCACTTAAACAATTTGATAATTGATTAAATCTTTAAACAAAATCGATAAACACGTTATACACTTCCTATCTCCTTAGAAATTAGCATGTATTTATGGATTGTGTTTTCGAACAAGGCTCGACCCAGACCAATAGGGAAATCCTTATGCTAATTAGTATGACGTCATATTTTCCTGGGGAATCCTAGATTTCAAAGCCTCAGTCTGTTATTGTGTCAAATGTAAACGCTCTTTTGCAGACAGAAAATTGACAGATTAGCTTTTAACTTTCAGCTTTGATGTTTGAATATTCTGTATTTCTACCGGACTTCTTGCTGAATATCACATAATGTTGTTATAACTTGATTTGGACCATTGCCTGATTGATCATTCTGAAATTTTGATTGTGATTCATGATTGACTGGCAAGAAAAATAATTCCTATTGTTTTCCAGCGAAGTCAAAATGTTACAGCATGAGTTATAATGTCGAGTTTGCATCATGTTAAATTCTGCTAGTGATTAGAAGTCCATGCACAAACACACCCAGGCTCCAGGCCGTGGATGGAAATATAAAACTATTTAAGGCACAGACTGGTATAAATAGACCGATATGTAGTGTCTGCCATGTATTGAAGGTAAACCAATCTGCATTATTAATGTTTCTTCTATCAAATACATGGATTGTGCAATGGAAAAGCAATGGCACAATCAAAAATGTGCATATCAATCGTGAATATCTCTCGGTTCAAAGCTTATTTCCAACAGAATCGTGTCAAAATATGTGTCTGAGTTACAGTTATACATTATAAGATCGCAAACTCTTACCAATTATCAGCCGAATGGCTCATTTTCAACGAAATGTCCTTAAGACAACAGCCCTGGGTCGCGCCTGAGACCAAAAACTATTTCAAATAGCCCTCCCTTACTCGAGTCTCTAGCTTACAGCTAGACGAAACTTCATTGATTTCGTATGTACTGTGCTACACGCACCTACACGCACCTAGAACTCATTTTTAATAAATTTTATAAATATTTTTAAGAATATTAATCATATTTAGGATGAAGCGTTGCTTGTCT